CCGAGATTCAGGACAGACTCGGGAGAAACTCTGCCAAGCCTAGGGTCAGGGAGGACTGGTTTTAGAACTTCTGGAGGGGCTGGACATGTTCAGATCATCAGGTCCAGATGCTCTCCACCCCAGGGTGTTGAGGGAATTGGCCCGGGTTATTGCGGGGCTCCTGGCATGGCTTTACAAGCACTTGTGGTGCTCTGGCCAGGTCCCGGACAACTGGAAGAGGGCCAATGTGGTCCCTATCTTTAAAAAAGGGAAGAGGGAGGACCTGGGCAACTATAGGCCTATGAGACTTACTTCAATCCTGGGGAAGCTCTTTGAGAAGATTATCAAGGAGCACATCTGTGATGGGCCAGCAGAGGGGATGATGCTCAAGGGCAACCAGCATGGTTTCATTAGGGGCAGATCCTGTCAGATGAACCTGATTGCCTTCTATGATCAGGTCACAAAATCACTGGATGCAGGTGTCACTGTGGATGTACTCTTCCTGGACTTCAGGAAGGCCTTTGATACCGTCTCCCACCCCATTCTCATTAAAAAGCTAGGTGACTGTGGCATTGATGCTTACACAGTCAGATGGATTGCAAATTGGCTGAGGGGTCGTACTCAGAGAGTGGTGGTGGATGGGTCATTTTTGACCTGGAAGGAAGTGGGCAGTGGGGTCCCCCAGGTCTCGGTCCTCAGGCCCGCACTGTTCAATTTCTTTATTAGTGATTTGGATGATGGGGTGAAGAGCAGCCTGTTTAAATTCGCATACGACACCAAGATTTGGGGTGAGGTGGGCACGCTAGAAGGGAAGGACAGATTACAGTGGGACCTGGACAGGTTACAGGGGTGGGCAAATAAAAATAGGATGGGATTCAATATTGACAAGTGCAGGGTGCTGCACTTGGGCAGTAGGAACCACCAGCATACCTATAGGTTAGGGAACACCCTTCTCGAAAGCGTGGTGGCAGAAAGAGATCTTGGAGTCATTATTGACTCCAAGATGAACATGGGCCGACAATGCGAGAACACAGTCAGTTGGGCTAACCATACCTTGTCGTGCATCCACAGATGAATCACAAGCAGGGCCAAGGAGGTGATTCTCCCCCTCTATGCGACGCTGGTCAGGCCGCAGCTGGAGTACTGTGTTCAGTTCTGTGCACTTCAGGAGGGATGTGGACAGCATTGAGAGGGTCCAAAGGAGGGCCACTCGCATGATCTGGGGACAGCAGGACAGATCCTATAAGGAGAGGCTATGGGACCTTAACCTGTTCAGCCTTCGCAAGAGAAGGCTGAGGGGGAACCTGGTGGCCATCTGTACTAGCGGGGACCAGCAGGGTTTGTGAGAGACCTTGTTCCCCTGAGTGCCTCCCAGAGTAACAAGGAATAATGACCATAAGTTGCTAGAGAGTAGGTTTAGACTAGACATTAGAAGGCACTACTTCAGAGTCAGGATGGCTAGGATCTGGAGCTAACTTCCAAGGGAAGTGGTGCTGGCTCCTACCCTGGGGGTCTTTAAGAGGAGGCTCAATGTTTACCTGGCTGGGGTCATTTGAGCCCAGTTTTCTCTCCTGCCCAGGGCAGGGGGTCAGATTAGGAGATCTACAAGGTCTTTTCCGACCCTACATCTATGAATCCTACAGTACATGCAGGCATCAGTAGTCTCTCATGTACTGATGAGGGTATACACTCAAAAACTTGGAGTGCTTTTAACCACGGCTAATAGGAAACCTTTAATTTCAAGATCAAGTAACAGATATACTTTAGTTTAATGGATGGAAAATAGAATAGGGAATCAGGGCTCTTTATCTTGCATCTGATAATGATTCTAGAACTTTCTTAAAAAGTTCTAGAAAATGGATCTCATCAACCTTCCTTTTCCCTAAATCCTTGCTTTCCTTTCTTCTAAATCCTTGATAACATTATCCAAAGAGGGTCTGCACAACAAAATGATGGTGTGAGTTCAGCATGGACAGGCAAACTCATCTAAGTAGCATGGGTAACTATAATGGTGAAAAAATGATTTCATGGATTTTAAGTGCAAGCTGGCATAATAAGAAGGTTCTGGGGAACTCCAGAACCAGACTGCTGATACTAGGCATCTCATTCACAGAAGTGGAGGTGTGACAGGGGCAAGCTCCCAGGCCTAATCTCACTATCGGCCTGCCTCCAGTCTATGGGCAAACTGCCCACCTTGCTTTCCTGCCACGCCTTGTTGTAAAGTAACTGGGATATTAATCAGATGGGAGGCTGCCATTTGAGCGTCCTTCTGTAATGGGCAATACGTACACGCTCCAACCTTCCCTTACACGTGTCCCATGCCTCTCAGATGTCACACTGTGTGTTAAATTTCCGGTTCAAGGCAGGGCCAAAATGGGCGCACGCTGCCCTCATGGGCCACACACACCCCACCCCCCTTTCAGTGGGGCCTCTTGCGCTCCACCCTCTCTCACAGCGCCTCTATCACACCGCCCTATCCAGGGCCACATTTATCCTGCCCTGCTCCCTTGAGCGACCCCGTAGGGCCATCAGGCTTTGCCCTTCATGCCATGGTCAGCCATGGTGCAGCCTATTGGGCCTTTCCTGCAGCCCTCATCTGAGCAAGACTGGGCACTTATTCAACTATGGGTCTACTTCGCCCCTAGCCCCTCACTGGGCCATTACACCCCTCTCTTGGGCTGCTAGTCCACCCCTACACTGGATCCTGGGGTCTTCCACCCCTACAGGCTCAGGTGTTTCTCTTACTAAGCATGCCTGGCCTCCAGTCCACCCTCTCCACAGGGCCAGGGGTCTTACACCCCTTGGGCTCAGGTGCTCCTCTTTGAGCGTGCCTGGCCCATCTCCAGTAAAGCTGCTCCATCACAATAACTCCAACAAGTTATTGCATCTTGTTATCCATGCTGATTTTATTAAAGCTAAGCCACATGCTGCATTCATATCTTCAGGTGAAGTGGTGATTCACCCCAGGAGTCAGTGATATGCTAAGAATACAGTTCAGGCTGATATTTGGAAAGCCTTTGAAATTTCAAGAAGCAGTATACATTTAAAGGTTGTATGTGATTAATTACCATGTTTTCTTTTTGGCATGGACACCTCTTTGGCCCCTTTAGATCTTGTTATGGTTTAATGTAGCTGTTTGCCGCATGTGAAAGTTATACCATATAACTTAAGGCATATGCAATATATGCCACTGATTGTGCCTGATAGATCTTATTCAGATTAGCAAATACAATTCCTTTGGCCTGGTACAGTTTGCTTGTTGTCTCCTCTGTGCAGGGACTTGCTCTTTTATTTGTAACTTCATTTTATTGTCATCTTTTTAAGCATCTGGCAACACTGGTTTTGCTCAAGTATTTTTATTGTATGGTTGATAATTAAAATGTTCACTGCCAAGGACACAGTTAGCTCCTCAGTGTCCAAGGGGAGAGGATTATGCAGCTCATTGGAGAGCAGGGGTGAGTAGGAGGTGGGTGGAGCCTTACCTGTCCCTGCTTTCTGCACTAAATTGGCAGCTGTTACTGTGGTGGCTGTTGCTGTAGCAGTACAGGCTTAGGCTCCTGCCACTGGGGGACTGGCTCACTGCATACCAGCTGCAGCAGCCCTGTAGCATGGGTTTCCTGAGAGCTGCTCCTGGTGCCCTTTTCATTCCTCCTTCCTGCCCAGATACATTTAGGTGCAGGGCTATGCCTGGCATGGCAAAAATGCTTGCTGGGGGTTGTGGGGGCAGGCTGCTATTCAACTTGACCCATTGCCCTCCAGATACACTACTAAGAACTTGCTGGCTCTTGTGGCTGGGCAGCACTGGGCTTTTAGGGCTAGGCGAAGCTTCGGTCCCTGATTTGATTCAGCAGAGATTTGGCCTGATTCAATGGCCGAATCTCCAAATCCAAATCGAATCGGAACCCTCCAAATCGATTCGGCAATTTGGACGTAAATACAGCTTTAAATGTTTTTCTACATACTTCAAGGTACCAGGTGGCTTGTGAATGCTGCAGTGCTGGGGTGGTTGGAGAGTCCCACAGGAGCACGGGGGGCTTACCAGCGCACTTGGCAGCAGACCCAAAAGTGGAACAGCTCAGCGCCCTGGCTCGGCAACTGATGCCTCTTAGGTCTGGGAGCCGGGAGGGCACAGGGATTCCCTCTGTGCGCTCTCCGGCAGACCTGGAAGTACTTCCAGTCCACCTCCGGGTTTGCCGGTGAGCACACGGGGGGGGGCCCTGCACTCCTGTGGGACGTTCCATCCATCCCAGCATCACAGCATTCACGAGCTGTGCTTGGTACCTCGAGGTACGTAGAAAAAACATTTAAAGCTATGTCTATGGCCAAAGTGCTGATTATCCAAATCAGCATCGAATCTTCAGATTTGGATTTGGCCGAATCGAATCGGGATAGTGATCCAGATTAGTGAATCAAATCACTGTCCCTGATTTGGGCCAAATCCAAATCAAATATGGCCTGTTTTGCACACCCCTGTGGGCTATTCCTGGTGTGACAAAGATTCCTGTGGCAGGAAGAGGAGGTAATTTTGGTGTTCCCCTCTGAGATGGTCATTCTCCTGGAGCAACCATTTTTACTCTGGGAGTGAAATCCTGAACATTTGTATGCCTGTGATTTCTTCTGGGAGAGCATAACTCTCCCAGGAGAAACTGAAAGTCTATACATGGCCTAAATCAACCCAAGTTAGGTAATTCACATAAGGAAACTAGGGTAGTAATTTGCAGGATTAGGCTGTTCCTAGGTATCATAAAGAAAACAATTACAGCCTAAGGTAGCAGTTAATGCAAAGGTATGTCTCTACCTGCATATCTTAAGTATCTCTGAAGTGTACTTGACTTGCTAGTTCCCCAATTTTTGTTGATTTTTATTGATTTTTTTTTTTTTTTTAAATATCTGCTTGCTAAAGTTTTGCTCATAGACTTGTTTTCATTTTAAAGTGAGTCCTATGGCCCTATAATGAAGCCAGTGGCTGGATTTTAGTCTTACCAGACAGAAGTAAACAGAATATATCATTTTTTTGGCAGGCAAAAACTGGGATTTGACTGCTGCTTTGAGTGACTATGAGCAGCTTCGACAGGTACACACAGCCAGCCTGCCACAGGTGTTTAATGAAGGGAAGTACTACAAGCAGCAGGAGAGAGAGCAGCCCCAACAGGTGAACAAGGTCGAACGACCATGTCTACAGAGACAGGATGACATTGCTCAAGGTAACTGCAGCTGTGTAATGGACTATTTTGATAAACAGCTTTCTAGACAAGCAAAGCAGGGAGTAGGAGCTACCACTATCTGTCACCATGTAAATTATTCCAGCGTATTTGGCTTTCCAGAGGTGCCAGGTTGGATCCTGTAGTCAATAATTTTCAGTTCTGTTGACCTTTGCCTCTCTTCATAGATTTTTAATGTGCCGTTAAAGCATTCGATTTAGAGACTGTCTAATATTAGCCATGGAGTGTATAGATTAGAGGAGTCATACAGCATTCTTCTCTTTCATTTCCTTTGATATGTGGGACCAAAGAATGGTCCATAATTGTAGTCATTGCCTTTTTTTCAATCTTTATTAAATGACAAAGGTGGCAGTAGCAGGGGCATGTGTTGAATAACTTTTATCATGGAAATGTCTTATTTTCTATTACAGTTCCATACAAAAAAAACCCTGATATTGTATTTGTATTTTGAATAAAGCAGCCTTAAAAAAAGAAAGGAAGGAAAGGGACCAGTTAGCAGTCATATCAGTTCATTTCCATTATGTGATAAGCTTTAAGATTTTATTTTTTGTATTCATACTGCTGTAGCTATTGCAACAGGTATCTTCTACTTGAATTCAGTAGACAGTTGAGATTTACATAAAAGTAAATCTAAAGCCTGCCAGCTTCTCATGTAAAAATGTAAATAGACCTCTCTCTCTCTCTCTCTCTCTCTCTCTCTCTCTCTCTCTCACTGATGTGTAGCAGAAATTTGTGTCCATGGAATCCATCCAGGTGTAGCTCATGCTTGGTCACATAGGATTGGCTAACAGATCCCCAGCTGATCCAAATTGTCAGAGTTCAGTTGGCTTCTACAACAGCAGTCACAATTCCTGCTAGCTGAGGAGCTGCCTCAAGGAGTGCTGGTGTAATACCGCTGTCTTTTGAGGGAGGAGTATAGGAAGAGAAAGTGTCCCTTTATTTTCTCAACAACTGTCTTGACCAACAAAAAGAAAAGCCAGACAACAGGAATATGGGTTGACTGGGACAAAACTTTATTAAGGAACTCTTGGGCAGTAACTCTTCCAGTGCAAGTGACCCATCCTTCATAATCTGTGCCATTTGATATACGGCTGTTAATTACCAGGCCAAACTTCTGTTGCTACAATAATATTACCCTCCTCTTGAACAAAGGGTATGAAAGTGGATAAGAGGGAGTTATCTTCTTGCTATTGCAAGTATTAATAGCTCCCACTATGTTCCCTAGGAAATGCCTTGTCATAATCCATTTCCAATTCCTTTATCATGGAACCAGACTGCTGTTAATAGTTACCTCTCCCTCAATTACATTTACATCACCCAGAACAACAACATACTGAAAAGTACAGTAGCATATTTGACAAATAGGAAAAGCTTGCGTTGTGCATTTTTAAGAATTCTTTCTATAGTCATTTTTTTTCTCTCAGGAGTAATAGTGTTGGAGTCCACAGGCTTCATTTTTTGGGAGCCCATACATTTTTTCCTGCCCACACATGATTCAAGATGCTTGTGTTTTGCATACATTTTCACAAATGTATTTGCTTTCTTTCATTATTGGATACAATGAGTAACAGCTCAGAACAATGCAAAAGTGCATGGCTAATTTAAGAGACATTGTTAAAAGAATATTAAGTATTGCTTAGTATACCAGGCAGTAACACACAGTTAGGAACTTGAATATTAAAAAGTAAAAAATCGACTTCAGAGCTGTTTCTTTATTCTGCTTCCATTTCCCCTTTGCCCTGTTTGTTGCTTATAAAATGACACAGGACTTCAAAGTTTCTCTATATAGCGTGCGTGCGCATGCAAGAGAGGGGGAGAGAGATTATTTATGTTACCCATATATACTTGCTTTACTTTTTTTTTTCTTGCCAGCTCCTGGTCTCTGATATTTTATTGCTGAGTTTCAGAGTTTATATACTTTCTGTTTTTCTGTTTTTTTTTAAACCTTTTAATAATTCTATCTGATCCAATAACTCTGTATCCAAGTATTGGTAGGGGTAAATCAATGTGTGATATTAACTTTCTTTCCCCTCATCCATTTCTGATTTTTTGTTAATTCTATCATGTTTCTTTTATTCAATTCCTCTCTAAAGGGTCACCGTATTTTCAGCATCTCTTCCTACAAATGTCTCTGTGCTTCAGATTTTTAATTTTCCCCCCCCTAGTCTTTTGATTTGCTCTATTTCTATTATTCTGGAGATAATGTTGCAAGAACAGCCAGTGAAGGTGTGTTCCCTGAGTATGGAATTATTATAATAGTATTTTTAGTATTGCTTTCTATCCCATTTTCTGTACATTTTGAAGTCTTGCTTTACTGAACATTTCACTGCACCTTGAGAAAATAATTAAGACTGACCTGTCAATACTGACATCCAAGTCTTCCCTAAGACTAATAAAATGTGCTAATAATTAAAGCTTTTGGTTTTAAGCCAGGTACAAACATTACATTTTTACCAGTATATGTGATTGGAAACTGGTCTGTACTTTAACAGGACAAAAGTTTAGCACACAAACCTGGTCTATACTTATAACAAAACAGAAGTTCAGAACACACAAACTTGTTTAAAAATGGCGAAGTTTTGGTATAAGTTTTGCTTCCCCTCCTCTCCCCCACTAAAGAGCAAATATGTGATCTGTTTGCTATGAATCTAAACTACACTGCTTAAAGAAAACCATGTAACTTAGATAAATTCCATCTCGGGCTTTCTGAATGTCTGTACCTAGCCTTAGTGTTTTTAGTTATCTTCTCTTTGTCTCTACTGAACTTCAAAAAGGGATTACAGAAAAAGGGGTTTTGCTTTTGATAAAATAATGTACTCTGGTAAAAATAGATATGCTAGATGTGCATTATTCCTTGCATCAAGGTTTCTAAAAAGAATCTGTCTTTAAATCCGAACAATGGTACTGAGCTTATTTCTGAGTTGAGTTTTTGGAATTAAAACATAGTAATGTGAGGGGATAGTTATATGCTAGATTTCATTTGACCCATAAAAAGTTAACCTAACTTCAGAGCATGAAATATTTAATAGTTATGATCTGTCTTCTGTAAATATTTCTTCAAAATAGTCTTAATGAACACATGTTCTCTCCCAAACCATTTGTATAGAAATACTTCATTCACAAATCATTACTTAAAATATTAAGTTTGTCCAACAAGAAACTAAACACAACCAAATTAATCTTCAATGGCTAAGACTTCAGGGCAGAGCCTGTGCATTCTTTTATGCTTGGAAGTGCCCAGAACAGTAGAAATAAACAAGAATGATAATTCCTCAAGTGAAACGAATAGAGGCATGTCAGGGTTGAGCTTTACTGACTCACAAAATAGCATAAGAAAGACTAGGATGGGTGGAAAACATTTTTTCTGTTATTATATTTCAGTTGAGCTATTGCCTTTCACTTGCCTATTAATAAATTGAAGAAAGAATTGTCTTTACATCGTAATGTGCTTAGTCGTGCTTTTGCCTTCCGTAACATCAGTTTGGTTTCTTCACAGAGAAACGACTCTCCAGAGGTATTTCTCATGCCAGCTCAGCCATAGTCTCCCTTGCTCGATCACATGTAGCAAATGAATGCAGCAATGAACAATTTCCTTTGGAGATGCCCATCTACACATTCCAGCTACCAGATCTTAGTGTATACAGTGAGGATTTCAGAAGCTTCATTGAACGTGACTTAATCGAGCAAGCAACAATGGTTGCTTTGGAACAAGCAGGTGGGTAAATACTTCAGATGTCAGCAGCTGGGTGATCTGGCATTTGGCTTGACAATCTTTAATCACTCTTCATTACTGGAGTTGGCACATCCTGCCTCAGCAATAAATGCAAGAGAGCAAAAGCAAATAGCGCACTCTTAGTATTATGACACTCAGCTCTCTGCTCCATTTCTGTTAGGGCTCTACTGTGATTAAAGAAAGCTTGATTAATAAAATAAGGAAACAGAGAGATGAAGAGGGTGAGGGAGCTGTACAATTGTTAAGGCAAGTGAGGCTAGCTAGCTGCTAGGGCAAAAGACAGAGAGCTGTATCCCATTATGGCTGCATCCAGATGAGTGCAGCCACGTGGTATGTAATACCACAGATGTGTCTATGGCACCACATACTGAACATTCAGCTGTTCTCCACACTGCAAGGGAGCAGCGCGGTGGGGGTTTGCAAAAACCATGCAAAAAAAAAAAGCAGAATGATGCATGCAGGGGCAGTGCATGCTGCTCAAAACCAGAGCCTGGCTGGCCAGAGCCACACTCCAGCTGCTGGCCAGGCTCTAAGCAGCAGGATTACCACTGCTGTAGCCCCAGGAGCCCCCCAGGAATCCCAGGTAATGCTGCCGGGGCCAGCCCAGTGCTGGCCTCAGCCTTCCCTACCACACCTGGGGTAATCTGCCATGTACCAGAGGGCGCGTGGGTCAGGCGTTCCCCAGGGACAACTAGCGGTTGCAGAGGTTGTGTCACTGCTTCTTGTCCTCAAGGAACCAAATGTCCATGCTTGCATGGACAAGGCCTATATGTCAGCAGGTTAGCATCATTTATGATCCTTATGCCTTAGTTTCCCCATTTATAAAATGAAAATAATGAAATTTACTTCCTATGAAAAGTGTTTTGGCCCTTAGAGACGAAAAGGGTTATATAATATCTAGGTATTATATAGGAACTAAATTAACCCTACATTAAAATATGTTAAATTTTATTCAAACCTGGATAAAATAATCCAAAAATTTTAAAGTATCCCTTTTAAATTATACATTTTATAAACAAGAGAATATGAGGCAGTAGTCAGATATCCATATCCTGCTGCCTATCAGTCAAAATACTCATGGAAACATGATTGTCTTTCAGTAGAGTTGCTACCAACTTCCATTTTGTCTGTTTACCATGTAGCATTGGCGTGGAAAGTTGGTTTGGTCTGAAAAGTGCTGGGTTTCCTCTTAAGGCAAGATCCAGTGTTTCCTCTATAATATGAAGGAAACTCCCCCACATGCTTTGAGTTATGGGTTAGTACTCACTCTTTGAGGTAGTTTTGGCATTTACCAATGTTCTTTTTTCTTGTTGTTTCCCCTCAATTTATTTCCCCTCAATTTGCAGTTACACCTTGATCAGACATAGTGTATAAATTTAACGAAACTTATAGTGCTAGAGGCAAGGATTTCTCAGGTTGAGAACTTGTATTGTGTCATGGCTATGACGTCACGTCAGTGCTAGGAAACGGATTGTAATAAAGAAAAGTTATTGACATTGTTGAGCCTTATTATGAATCTCTACTTTCATTGGGCAGTATGTTTTGACTCTAGCCCTACTGATGTCAGTAGGAGATTTTTGCTATTAACTTTGGTAGAAGGAGGTTTGAGTTAAGGGAATGATACTGCACAGCCACACAACTAGTGCAGAGGAATCATAGAGGCGGCAACGGGCCCCTACTGAATACCCTCTGACAGAAAGGGCCTTTCTGCCACATGTAGAAGCAGCCCTCTGCCACCTCCACTGAAGCTGCCTTTGCACTGAGAGTTCTGGGTGAGGGCTAGCAGATGGAGTGAGCAGATGGGGTTTGGAGGAAGTGTGAGCAGGACTCAGTCCTGCACTCCAGCAGTTCACCATTGCTACGGTGCTTCTAGGAGCTTTGTGGAGCTCTGAGAGCTATCTTACTTGGCTTGGCCCCAGCATCCTCCAAAGTGAAAAGAAGCAAGTCCTTCACCCCTAGTCCCTGAATGAACTCAGCAGTGTACGTGTGTGCAAGCATGTTGCCTTGCCCTCTGTTTGCCAATTACATATTAAAAAGAATATAAGGGTGTTTCTGTCATTTAGAACAATCTTCTTTTTGTTCAAGTAGCAGAGGGCTTTGTTTTTGGAGAGAAAGGACCAGAAATCTTATTCCAGCTGTGCAGGTGCATGTTGCTTGATTATTACAACAAAGCAACTCTTAAACATTTTCACAAAAGTGGGGTTGTTTTCCTTTTTTCCACCCAATCTGTCTGTGGCATTTTGCAGATTTGCAAAAGTAGGGTGATAGAGTTGTAGCTGTGAACGCCCCAAAAGTTAAAGGTGTAGCTATGAACATCAAGGGTCTCAAGGGCCAGCTTTTTGTCAGAGGTCCCTGCATCTCATTCTTCAAAACTCCTTCTACTTGATATCGTTCTCTGGTTTTGTTATTAGAATAAATAACAACTGGTCACAATAAGAAAGTTTCTTATTCAGTAGTCTTTCTTTGACTTAAGTGAAATATCAGGATCATTTAATTAACAGTGTCTCTTATTTTTTCCTAAAGTTAATCTGACATCAGTGAGTATACCCACACAATGAGAGGCAAGAATTCATGTGGGTGATATCTTTTATTGTATCAACTGCATGGTTGAGACTTAGACAAGCTTTTGGAATCATAGTACCCTTCTTCTCATATTCCTAGATCATTATGGCAACAACATCACTTCAACACTACCTGTAACCACACAAGGCTTTTTCATTTCTGAAATATTTTTTTCCTAATTGGATATTTATCCCCAGGATTTTAAAGGGTGCTTTTCCGTGGATGATTAATTAATGTAACATTTTCTTCTTCCTTCCCTTCACTAAAAAGTCTATCATGCTTGATTTGCTGCCCCTGAGTTTTACAGAGTGATGAACATAGCAGCCTGCCATTTAAAAATGTTCGGGAAACCATCTGTTAAAACATGGAATTAATTGATTCCACTAAGAGGTATAGCAGAAGGATTGCTTAGAATAAAGCCGTGACTATTTAAAAAAAAAAATTAAGTCAAAATTGAGGTTATTTTCTTCTGCTGAAATGGGACATTTAACGTAATATATTAAACAAGTTTTCTTAATAGAGGCAGTCCTTGGACTTATGACACAATTGGTTGCTGAAAACCGCATCTTAAGTTGAAACATTGTAACTTGGACCCAATTTTCTCATAGGAAACAATGTTATAAATGGGGAATTGGTTCCTGAACCAAGGCCCAATACCCTATTTTCACCAAAAATAACCCAGAATTTTGTACACAATCAATTATAGATAAGTACTATAGCTACATTAATGTATTTATATTGTAAGTAGCAATCATATTGATTTGGAAGGACTGCTTTGAGGTGACTTTGCTGGGCTTCTTGAAGGGCTCTTGGTTGAACTTTTTGAAGGGCTCTTGGCTGGAGTCTTCTCAGGAGTCTTGGCTGCAGGTTTTTCTGGAGTCTTGTCTGCTTTCTTAAAGAAAGTATCCGAGGAAGTTTGGACAGATGTTCTCCAGGGAGATGAGTGACGCAGCAAACTTGTTTGCTGGTGTGGATGGTGTTGGATCAAGCATTGTAAAGTTGAAACTGATGTCAGAAAATTGAAACAGTGTGTCAGTTTATAAATGTTGCAAAATGTTGAACTCGAAACATTGTAAGTCAAGGACTGCCTGCATAGTGACTTATTTTAAACCTCTGTGTTTTCATGTAATATGCAGCTATTGGTTAGAGCAGTGGTTCTTAAACTTTTTGGACTTGAGGTACCCTTCATTGGATTCGAGGCACACCTCCATAACTTTGTGAACTGAGTGGCACCCAATTTCTCAACTAAGTTATATATTACAATGCTTGCTTCCTTGCAGGGAGGGTAGGCAGTATGTGTCGGGTATCATCCAGGTAGGGACAAGCATGAGCATAGACTTATCTGTTTATCAGCTTATCCCGTCATACCACACTTATTTCCCTACTCATTGAGGTACCCTTTAGAGGAGCTGGTTACACCCTAGGGCAGGGGTAGGCAACGTTTTTTGGTCGGAGTGCCGAAAAACACAATGCCTACCTCGGAAGGTGCCGGAGTGCTGGCATGGCAGAAAAACAAGATGAGGGCAAGGGGTGCATGGCAGGATGCCCTGCTTGTGCCCCTTGCCTCCCACCCAAAGCCCCTGCCCCCCAGCCCTGCCGTCCCATGCCCCGACCCAAAGCCCCTGCCCCCCAGCCTGCCCCAAAGTGCCTGTGCAGTCACCGCCAGCAGCGGAGCTGTTTGCACTCTGCCTGATGCTTGCTGCAGCTGCCCAGAGCCTGGGCTGGCTCCAAACAGCTGTGCCAGGCTCATCACCTCCGTGCCGGGAGTGGGGGAGAGACCAGGGCTGCACTGCCTCAGGCCCCTCCCCCACCTCCCACTCCAAGGCACGCCTGCACACGCCAGTGCGGAGCTGATGCCGGAGCCCAGCACAGCTGTTTGGAGCCTCTCGGCTGTAGCTGGCTCTGGGTAGCTGCTGCCAGCCAGGATCCTGGGCTGCTCCCAGCAGGCAGCTGGGACACTGCAAGCCCTGCTGGGAGCAGCCCGGGCTCCGTCGCTGGCAGCAGCTACCCAGAACCGGGCCTGGCCGTGGCGTGTCAGGCAAAATGGCCTCGCATGCCATGTTTGGCACACGTGCCAGGGGTTGCCGACCCGTGCCCTAGGGTGACCCAGTACCCTAATTGAAAATCACTGAATTCGAGGGAGGCCAGAACTGGAAACCCAAATCCATACTTTCCAGGCTTTGAGGGCTGTTTTAAAATCCAGATAGAAAACTAGATCCACATTTTATGATTGTATATGCCTAAACCATTGATGTCATTGAAATTTGGTGTAAGTTTATGTGAAATTGAGTACAGACAAATGTATATTTGTCGCAGTTTCTGAAGGGGGGGAGCTGGTACTTGGGAACACGGAGAAGCTATTACACTTTAACTGTCACTCCTCCAGGACCTGAGGAAAGGTATTTTATACCCAGAAGTGG